AATGAAATATATAAATTGAAATTTTGTGATTGCATATGTACTCAACCCCCTAAGTCAGCACTTGGTGGAAACATTTTTGGCATAAATTACTTTTTGGATAGGTCTCTACCAACTTTGCACAATGGGATGGTGTAACTTTTTCCCATTCTTCCTGGTAAAATTGCTCCAATTCTGACAAGTTAATTGGAAATCGTTAATAGACTGCAATCTTCAAGTCTCGCCATACATTTTCCATTGGATTCAAGTCAGGACTTTGACGGGGGCACTCCAGGACATTCACTTTCTTCTTTTGAAAGCACTCCAGTATGGCCTTGGCCTTGTGCATTGGGTCACTGTTCTGCTGAAATGTGAATATTCGACTCAGTTTTAGATTCTTGGCTCAAGCAGGTTTTCCTCAAGGATTAGCCTGTACTTTGCATCATCCATCTTCCCCTCAATCCTGACAAGCTACCGAGTTCCTGCTCATGAGAAGCATCCCCATAATACATAATGCTGCTACCACCATGCTTGACTGCTGTGATGGTGTTGATTGGGTGATGTGCTGTGTTGGGCTTGTGCCACACATAACACTTTGAATTTAGACCGCAGTGTAAGACTAGAGGGAAGGCAGCTAGTCATCACCACCCACCGCCAACTCTTGGGCTACTCTTTTACCAACGAATAGTGGGATTGACCATCACATTATAACGCCCCCACGGCTGAAAGGGCGAGCATATTTGGTGGGACGGGGATTCGAACCCGCGACCCGCAGATTGCGAGTCGAGTGCCCTAACCACCTGGCCATGCCAGGCCCCAGGAAGATGGAGCACCGTGTCACACTGCTAGAAACACCCAAAAGTGGCAGGAAGAAAATTGTATCCAGAAGTTGCCCTGGCCGAGCCAATCTCCTGACATGAACCCCATCAAAAACCTCTGGGCCATACTCGACCTGGCAAGTCAAGAAACAACCAAAAAAAACTAACTTCGAAGAGCGATCTACTCAACGAACTCCAAGAAGCGAAAGGAAG